TTTTTGCTGTTTCTTTCCCCCTTCCTGGGAACTCTACATCTAATTGGAATATTTGTGCTACTTACTTAGTGGGACCTCTTGTTCTTGGTCAGTGAATTGTGGCTTGTCACAAACCACATGGGAAAACACATGAGTACTCAAACCCCACTGTTCCTGTAATCATCACAAAGGTTTAAGATTTAATGAAAGCACTTGAGGACCTCAATTTATCTATCTAATGGACCAGGTCAGCAGGAAACACTAACCAGAATTCAGTACTTAACATAAACTACTACTTATTATATCAATTCAAATACAGACAAACTGAAATATAAATTGTCAGCATATAACTCTACTGGCTGAAATTCTCTTTCTCCTCCTTTCTAAATCCCTGTACACGCATGCAGACAGACACAAACAAGCAAACCTGGATATTATCGATGGAGGAAGAAATACTGAGGAAACACAGTTCATAGTACCACTGTACCAATCCACAGGATTCATTGAGGTGCTCCTTTTGCTTCTTCCAAAACCTTATGTTCTCTGATCTCCTCATCCAGGTTCTGTGTTCTTTGCTGAAGAAGCAGGGTGGTTAGCACACTAATTATACAGTCTCTCAGTCACTGGTTTCAAGCAACACCTTACAGCTATTGATGGGAGAAAATAACTAGTTATCTTCTAGGAGTTGATTAGTTCACTACACAAAGAGAGAGAGAGCGAGATCTTGTCACTTTCTTGTAGAATGGAAGCTCCTATTCCGTATTTTTCACACATTGTTCACCTGTCCCAGAGCTATTCGGAGAGGAGTTGTCATGCTGATAACTCCTGCCCCCCACATCTGGTCCCGATTTGGTTTGTGCAGTCACCATTCTGGATCTGGGTGAAGCTTAGTCTGAACTCAATCACTCTCTTTGTCTCATGGTGTCTTAAGCATCTTCCTTCACTGCTTAGACAAGGCAACAGCGTAAACAAAATTCAATGAGTCCCAGCAGTTTAGCTTTGAAAGTGCAGCTATTCCTCCCACAGTCCTTGGTTTGCAGTAGTACACTTTTTTCCATTTTGGTTCACAATCCAAAATAAAGGAAAATAAAAAGATGTGGCCTTTATAAACTTTACAACAAAATTAAACAGCCCAGCTGGCACTCTCGTGCAGTACTGAGGAGAGTGTTGCAGATTACATTGATTCTTCAGATAACCTTTGTGTCATCTGCTTCCTTTGTAAAGAGATGCAAAGTCCTCTTAAGTACTTTTTCATGTCCTCTGCCTCTACGTAAGATTTTCTTCTGAGTCCTTAACAGGATGAAATTTGTCTTTTTTCCTAACCAGTTACACTTGTTGGTGCTTATTCAAATATCTTGGGTTTCAGTTCAATGTTACCTGCTTCGCTTTTCTCAACATATCTTTACTTCCTGTATTAACTTCTTAAGTTCCCCCTTGTACTATTTGGAAATGAAATGAAACTTACATAGCTTTGTTGTTTAGCTAGTGATTGTGGTACATTTTAGGAATTTAAAGCTGAGAAATATTAATGAGGGCTCGGTCAGTAGCCTGGTAATTTGGTTCAGAAACCCATACGTTTGAAACCTGGTGATCCTAAAGTCTTACTTTCTCATTTTCTCCCTTCGCTGATAATTGAATATTAATCATGGATGTTTATGGAATGTTGGTGCTTTACATCTAACCAACATACTGACTGAGGAAACAAAAACAAATTACTGGAGAAACTCAGCGGGTCTGGCAGCATTTGTGGAAAGAAAACAGTTAACATGTTGAGTCTGATGACTGTTCATCACAAGTTCTCTCCAGATTTGAAATGTTGACTGTGCATATTATTAGAATAAATAATGTTGCAACAAGCTAACTGATAAATATCACTAGGCTTTTAGTTTGTAACGTAAGCTGCATTGTATCAAGTACATGTATTTTACAATGTTTCATGAACAGTCATCTGATTCATACTGATAACTTTGTTCGTGATGTTAAAAATGTAACAGCATGAAAATAAATTACTTTGAAATCATGAAACATCCTCAAACGATATAAATGCAAGTTGTTAGTTATAATTTGGGTTTTATTCACTTTTTACATTCTGTAAGGTATGTAAGTGAACAATGTGTTGCGATGTCACAAGTTCTGGTTAGAGCGGGTGGCTTAGCTCAGTTGGCTGGTATGTGATGCAGAATGATGATAACAGCATGGGATTAATTCCTGCACCTGAGGTTACCATGAAGAATTCTCCTTCTCAATCTCTCCCTTGCCTGAGACATGGTGACTCTAAGGTTAAACCATCACCACTTGTGGTTGAACAAGGTTATAGTGATTTTACCTTTATCTTTTAGTTTTAGTTAATGACAACCTTATGAAGCTATAGTTTTGTTCTGGAGTTATAAGTAGACATTTTCCCATGGCTTGAAGTTAATGAAAAAGGCACAATACGAATCTAGTGGTGCAAATAGATTTTGCGAAAAAATGAAAAGAAAATGACAAGTGTAGCAACCTAGTCTAAAGTCAAAATCTGGTGTCATGTGGAATCAGGGAAAACCATCTTCCTTTATGAAAAGCAAGGAGTCATACTTTTCATAAAGGAAGATGGTTGTGATTGTTGGAAGTCAATCTCAGACCCAGGACATGACTGCAGAAGTTCCTTAGAGTAGTGTACTTGTACTAGGCTCTAGCATCTTAAGCTACTTCATTAATGGTCTTCCCTCCATTCTGGGATCATAAGTGGAGATGTTCATTTTGGATTATGGGGTCAGAAGTGGAGATGTTCATTCAGGATTGCACAGCTCCTCAGATGTGAAGATGTCTATGTCCGTGTGCAGCAAGGTCCAGACAACACACAGGTTTTGACTGTAAAGTGGGGAGTAATGTTTGCATTTCATAAGTGCCATTTCTAACACGAGACAATATAACCCCCTCCCATGATGTTCAGTGGTATTGCCATAGTCTTAGCAGACTATAGGGCTGCTTTCTCATTAGAGAGAGACACTGATGGTGCTTTAACCTGAAGGCTACCATACCTCAGATGAGGGGAGAGGAGGAGAAGAAGGAGAGTCCATCACAGTAACCTCAGCCAGTGATGGGAATTGAACTCAGCTGTTGGAATCACACTGCCTTAGAAACCAACCATCCAAGCAACTGAGCTAACCAGACTCCTGCCATTGCTGATACTCCCATTATCATCCTGAGAGTTACAGTTGTCCCATTCACCACTTTGTGTTTATTCCTTCATGGCCAACACACAATGGAAACAGTGTGTACCATCTACAAAATGCACAGTAGCAACTCCCCAAGACCTCTTCTGGTGTCTTCCAACCCATGATCTGTACCATCTAAAATGGTAAGAGTAGATGCAAGGAAACATTGCTATGTGCAGGTTTCCCATCCAAGCCACATATCATCCTGACTTGGAACTATAGCTCTATCTGTTGCCTAGTCAAAATCTTGGAACACATCCTAATAGCACTATGCGCTTCACTACACCCCAAGAACTGCAGTCGATGAAGACAAGCTCACCATCACCCTCTCCAGGGCAGTTACGGATGGACAATATGTTTTCAAATCGAAGTATAACATTTATAATTATTTATATTTGGAACCTAAAGGAACCTGGCTACATCCCAGTGTGATTCCAGCTGTTTCTGAACAAAGTCTGCTGGGATGCAAAGCAATTTGCAATTAACATTCCAGGAAATGTCTTTAAAAGAAAGTAGAAACAAAATTTCATGAGAAACTTTGAGTGCTTCAGTTTTCAGTTTTCAATGAAAGCACATCCTTGTGCTAAACCTTTGTTCCACATCATATTGAACTACACTTGGTGGAATTGGTTTTCTCCTTTGTCACAAAATATTCCCATTTTGAGCACTTTGTAGTGACAACTGTTTTATTGAAATACCAAAGGTAAAGACTTGAATTTTATTGATTTCTGCATGTACGAAAATTGTAATTTTGCAATGGATGAATCAGTGTATCAATAAAATAGGCAAATTTTGAGTATTCTAGTGCTTGACCCTTGCGAGTTATTTTAAGTGTTGGGTGAGTGTGTTATATTCATTGTAAAATTATATTCAGTTTGTGTCCAGCTGTGTGCCTTAGTTGATCAAAAAGAAATTCTCTCACTGCAACATTGTCATTTTGGGAGTTATTGTTTCTGGTCTGTAAAATGGTTCCTTTAGCTGTTAGTTTGAGAGTATTAAAGTGCAGGTCATATAGGCAGGAAAAATTCTCAAGCCAAGTTTCAAAGTGAAAGAATGGCCTTGCAAAAGTTAAAAGCCTTCCCCTGGAAAAAATGTATTTTTGTAGGATTTGCCATCCAGCCAAATCTCCGTAAAACTGGATCATTCTGACAAAAAAAGTGATATATTTCCAAAATAAAAAATGTTCTTCTCGATTGTGGTTGTAAATCTGCATAAAAAAGCTAAATGATTATTTTGTTCATTAACCATGGCATCAGAAGTTTTGGTTTAATCTCAAAAAGTTCGACTTCAAACATTTAAATTGGAAACTAAAATTATTGAAGTAATGCTTCAGATTTATGTGTTTAAGGCGGAGGATCTACATGAAACAACACAAATGCACAGTATACCAGTATGACACAAAATCCATGTCTGAAAGTAACAATTTTTAAATTAATGAACTTGTTATCAAATATAAGTATTTGATATTTTAAACAGCAATGAGCTGGTTTAAATTATGAATAACAAGAAATGCCTCTCCCTTTTCCTCATAAAAGTATCTAGGCTGCATTGTGTCCCTTGTACAGAATATTGGGAAGGAGCCAATCTATATTTTCCTTGGCATTGGTTTCAGTCCTTTTAAAACATTGGGATTTTTTTAATGCTTCAAATAATAATGTTTTCCAATCAATTGATGTAAATGAGATTACTGCCACAAGGCTGCTTGTAAAGCGTAGCAGTGTTCCTAAATTACTATACATTCTTTAATTTGATAAATGTAATTTTGCTTCTCTATTCGCTAAATTGCTAAACTAATTACCTTTCCCTTGCCTCCTTCCATGCCAGCCAATACCACTACTTAAACAGAAGATGAATCACTCCATCACAATGTCACAAGAACAAATAGCTTGCCTTCTGGCCAATGCCTTCTTTTGCACATTTCCTCGACGCAATAACAAAGGCAAACATGAATATTCTAACTTCCCGGACATAAACTTTAAGAAGTAAGTACAAAAAATTCCTTTACAGTATATCGCAATATTTCTGAAGAACGGTCACTGAACTCAAAACGTTAACTCTGTTTTATCTCCACAGATACTGCCTAATCTGCTGGGTTTCTCCAGCAGTTCATGTAATTGTATTTTTCAGGTCTCCAGCACCACATTCTTTATTCAGTTTTTAGTTCTTTAAGTACATACAGTATCAATATAACAAAGCCATCTCTCAAAGTCAACGTTATTTTGTTCTTATTGTACGTCTCCTGTTGCAATATTTTATGCATGGAGATCAAAAAAATGTGAATGATGCCTGACAGAATTGATCGTCTGGTGTATGAAAATACAATCATCCATTTATTAAGCAAAAAATACTGGAAGTGCTTGGCAAGTCAGGTAGCTAACAAAATATTGTTGACCTAAAGTGTGACCTCTGTTTCTTTCTCTACAGGTGTTACTTGACCTGCTGAGAGTATTTCCAGCATCTGCATGTTATTTTAGAGAATTGCTGCTTGGAAGCCCTGTGCTTCATTGGAGGGAGGCATGCTTGAGTAACAGTAGTCAACTATTCCACTACATTTGGGATGGTCTTGTCATTGATTTGAGGGTGGTCCCTTTTGATTACAAGGTAGATAATGTAACTTCTTTATTCAAGAAGGTAGGGAAAGAGAAAGTCGGTGACTACAGGTCAGTTAGCTTAGCTTAACGTCTGTCTAGGGAAACTGTAAGAAGCACTTATTAAAGAAGTTATAGCAAGGCAATTGTATAAGTTCAAGTTCAGAGTTGATTATGGTTTTGTGAAAGGGAAATCATGTTTGACCACTAGAAATCCTTTGAGGAAGTAACACATGCACTCGATAAAGGGGAACAGGGAGATGTACTATACTGAGATTTCCAGAAGAGATATAACATAGTAGATCAAAGCTTTTTGCAGAAAATGGAAGCTCTTGATATAGGGGGTCACACATTGGCATGGATAGAAGATTGGCTGGCTAACAGAAAGCAGAGAATAGGCATGAATGGGTCTGTATCAGCTTAGCAAGATCTAATGATTGGTGTGCCATAGGGATTGTTGGGTGCTGGGACCTCAACTGTTCACAATTTATAAATGAATTGGATGAAGCAATAGAATGTATAATTGCCTAATTTGCTGATAGTGCAGAGGTTGATAAGAAAGTAAGTTATGAAAAGGATATGAGGCTATAAAAAGATGTAGATAGGTTATGTGAATGGACAAAGAGGTGATAAATGGAGTGTAATGTGGGAAAATGTGAATTGTCCATTTTGGGAGAATAAAAAATGAGCACAATATCTAAATGTGGGACAGATTCAGAGATCTGAAATGCAGTGGGTTCTGAGTGTCCTCATGCAGATAGAGTAAGTAATTATGTTATCCTTTATTGCAAAGGGAGTTGAATACACACGTAAGGAGTTGTGCTTAAATTTACAGGGCACTGGTGAGAATGCACGTGGAGTACTATGCAAAGGTATTGGTCACCTTATTTGGGAAGGCTATAAATGCACCGAAGGCATTTCAGGAAACATTTCCCAGCCTAATAATTGGAGTGAAATGGCCGTTTTATGAGAAAAGATTGGACACGCTAGTCTTGTATCTGCTGAAGTTTAGAAGAATAAGAGGCAAGTTGATTGAAACGTATAGGATCCAGAGGGTTTTGATAGGGTAGGTATGATGAAGATGTTTCTTCTTTTGGGAAAATATAGAACTAGCAGCCACTGTTTAAAAACCAGTGTCTTCCTTTGCAAATAAAGAAAAGGCAATTTTTTTTTCCCTCTGAGGGTGGTGAGTCTTTGCCTTCCTGACAAGGTGGTGGAAGCAGAGCCCTTGGATATTTTTAAGGCAGAGGTAGATAGATTCTTGCTAAACAAGGGTTTGAAAGGTTGTCAGATTAGCCATGATCTTGTTGAATGTCTACTCCTGATCATAATGTTTGTGGAGGTCACCTTAGGTTTTACAGTGCTCTGTTGGTTAGACAGATTTGCTGTGCAATTGATAAACAGCTGTTTTGCTGATAAATATATTAGGTAAGATAGAAACTGATTTTTTTTACATGGTTTTATACTTGATAGGATAATTGGGGGCAGGAATTGAATAGAATGGATTGACTTTTGTCAGATTGAGCAATTTTTTTGTTATAACCTACAAAATGTAAACCAATCACAACTAATCCATTAGACAACTATTTTTTCCTGTTCTACTCATTTCAACAGGTCAGAGTCACGATAATTTGCCTCTAATTGTACCGAGATATGCCGCTTTGTTGAATTTCCTCACAAGAGTCATTGGGCTCAGTTTTCCTGGCCACATGGTGATCGTAGTTAGAAGCTGTGGAGATGGCTGGATAAACAGGTAGAGCCACAATTGGACATCTCCACAAAGCATTCCCTCTACTGGAGAACTTTCTTGTGGCAGGCTTGGGCAGGGCTCAACTGTCAATTGTTCAGAGGAATGATTTTGTAGCTTTGCTAGAATTTTGCAGCTGACAGAATTTTGACACAGCAGTGATCACCAGCTCAATGAAGCCATCCTCCCTGTAGCAGTCTGGGATTTGTTGGAGTTAAAAGGCTTCATGCTCCAGTGACCCCAGAAGGGATGGAGCCTCACTCATGGCTCAACTAGTTCCTGTGCTGGGGTTTCTCTTCTGCTTCAAGCTGCCCAATGGCTTTTGTCCTCACATCTTGTCTTGTATTAACACTCCAAAGCTGATTCCATGGTATTGTGCCTTTCCCTCACAAGTCCCCATGAACTGTTAAGGCTTCAGAAGAGGCAGCTCTTTGGCATTGAGCTTGTGAGTCAACCACTGTCCTTGAGAGATAGCCAGTGAAGACAGCCCGCGAAGAGTCTGGCTCCCAGAAAAGTGTGTTGCCAAGAGGACCAGACTCTGGACCCCCATTTGGTTCCAATGTCAGGTCCTGAAGGCTGTGCTAAAATCCAGCCCATTGATTAGTTGTAAAACAGCTTTTCCATCTGATTCACGCAGGCTTTGCAGCTTAGCTTAGAGATTTATCAGGTTAACCTCAAATACCTGAGCTATTGAGTTTCTTCAAGGCTGTATCTTTTAAGGCTACTAAGTAAATGTTGTTGAGACCTGAATATCCGATGGGAATGTATAGTTATCTCTAGTCTAATAATGTCAACTTCTCCTTTAGTCTGCCTACCTTATGTGGAATTTGACTTCCAGCGCTTTGCATCCATCAGTTTGGCAGGAGACCCAGGAGTGCAATAATTAAACTCCTTGTGATCAGAACTGAAATTCTGTATCATCTCTACGGGTACTTAACTCAGTTCTTCTGTAGAAGAGGGGGCACTGGGTATGTCAGTATTCAGTTTGCATTGTAAGATGCTTTTGTTCCAGTAAAGAAAAAACAGCATGGAACAATGAGATTGATTAGTGTCCCCTGAAGCTATCTCCTCTGTCACAAAAATGAAGAACACATAAGAGCTTGTACAATGTAAAAAGGCAATCATTGTATTTTGTCCTATCATCATGGCGGCAGCTCTGCTTTTTCAACTTTTTGCTGCCCAATGACTCTTGGTATGTCTATTCTGATTCCTTCAAAGCTGTTGCAGTGATAAAAGAGGCTTTTAACATCAAGGCACAAAATGTTTTATGGAATAACCAAACATGGCTAATGAGATTGCCTATTGTTATAGGGTTCACAAAACAACTTTCCATCCTACATTGTTTGTAACATTTGACTACATGCCAAATACACAACTCTGCCCAGTGCAGTGTTGAGAAGATAATCCTTTTTAGATCGTATCTTGTTTGAAACAAATGCATTTTTAGAATATCTTATTTACAAGTCTTTTTTTGAAAAAGAAAATGGTCAAACAAAAATGCTGTATCATTAATGTGTGTGGCATCCTGCATGCTATGATGTTTTCATAACAGTTTATCCTCTAATTTTCAGTATCTTGCCACAAGTGAGCCACTATGCTGTTACAAAACTTCCTCAAATGTTTGAAATTTTTGAGTAATTAAATCTAATGTTTATTTTTACAATACATATTTTTCAATATGCTCCCAGGTGGAGTGCAGTATTCTGTCAATATTATTGTTATAAGCAAACTTAATTTAAGGTTACATATGATCCATGTGATCAAAAATTAAAGCACAGAAGAGAGCCATCCACTGAAGTTATCTTTTGATGCAATCAGCTCTTCATGTGGTAATATCAATTCCAGTCCCATCATTAGTAAAAAGCTACCATTTGATGTGAACATAATAGTGACAATAGTCTTAGCAACATGATCTTTAGCACCAAATCCAAATGTACATGCAGTGAAGCATAATGATAAAAATAACCTATTTATCTACCTGTATGTTTTTCCAGTTGATTTGTATGGTACCTTAGGAAAACTATCTCTGAATTCCTTGAAGGGTGAAGCAGGGAGTTTAATGGTACTTGCAAGATCTAACTACTGTGCCTCAGCAACAGTAATGACTGTGCTTCAAAAGAATTAGTTAGATGTGCTTGGGAAATAGTCTAATGGGTGTGATGAGGTGTTAAGCAAATGTAACTTCTTTCTTGAACCACTAAACGTGAAGCTAAAATCTTAGAATACTCCTCTTCCTACATTTGCACTGTGTATGACCATCTGATTACTTTAAAGGATTTTAGATTTTTTCAAAGATGTTAGTCATATAAATATAAGAAATTGAAGTGTGCGTACTATATTTAAACTAACCTGTGGTAATAATTTTTGAGATTCCTCCGAAGTGCTTTTTGGAGCAATAAGTGGAAATAGCAGAAGTTGACAATTATAATATGCAACGCTTTCTTTAGATTCATGTTCAAACATTCAGACTTGTTTTTCAAGGCACATAAGCACCTCGGATATGGAGCCTGTTGTATGAAGGAGAGAGTGAGTGATTAGAATGATTATATTTATTCAATGTTGAACCCTGAGATAGCAAACTCATTGTGCTTTTCAGAAGGTGGTTGGTTGGTTTTGGCTGCTGTAACTAATACAGTACATTTAATAA